TATAGAAATTTCGCTTGATTAGATCCAGTAGGAAAGGAGTTACGACTAAAAAGTGTGGCTGATGAACCATTTCACCGCAGATTGAGTTTGAGCGCTACTGTATGTGGCCGCCTGATTCCGACATTTCATGAAAATATTCGCCCAAACCACTCAGATCGAAGGGCAAACGAAGTAATGGTCGAAATACTTTCATGCTCCACAGTCAACACATAAGAGCTTGAGAATGTATTACATTTGCTCTGCCATAATCATAGTTGACACAATGGTTCCGTAAATTCTACGGAAATCAAGCTGATTCTTTGGAGTAAACACGTGATGGACGAGAACTCCAGCCCCTTTAGTTTAGGCTTCTCCATTTCATTGTTCAGGGCCTTTACAAAAGATTTATTCAATGCAATTATTCAGCGGCCTAACATAAAGGATGGTTCTCATGTAACTATCAAAAGTATAACATTATTGTAGCCTATGACAATCCACAATTCTTCATGACAGGATTCGAGGCAGATGTTATTATGCCAGGAAGAAAAAGGTGTGTGATAGATAAAAGGTGTACGATGATCAACGAAGACTTCACTCTATCACTGTTACCCTACGCGCTATCACAGCCTCGCTTAGGGGAACAATGCTCATTCTTGAACTTGATACCTTCTTTGTAAACCTCAGCTTAAGAAGAACAAATTTTCTATAGTCTGTAATAAAAACTATAATTATGATAGGATTTAATAATGGTGATAAAGAAATTAGGATATCAAAAATAGATGTGATGAGCGGAGTAGTATTGACACCTGCAAAAAGTAGAAACACCGCAAAGAACAATGGCAGGTGTGCCAAAAAGAAGGGACCTCCAGCCTAAAATAAGAAGATCTAAAGAGATAGATCACTTGAAAACAAGATGGTTATGCGATTTTTACCAGGGCTACTGGGCCTTTCTGGTAGCTCCTATGAAACTGGTCAATTAATAACTACGGAATCTCCATTATTTGTACAGTTTTTGCCCCTCAACACCAGCCTCAACAGTACAAAAGAGACGAGGAGTGGTCTGGAAGGGGAACACTGTACCTAAGCGCAAGTAGTGTGACCGTTCAATGTCGCATCAGTGCTTTGGCCTAGCTTGATGAGAAACGTCGTGAGTGGAGGGGAGGAAGACCCCCCCNCCCCCCCTCCCTCCCCACAGATTCCTACCCCGTTGAAGTTTGCACCTTAGTGGTGTAAGGGTTTCAAGAAATCTAACAAGAAAAGTCCCGGTTCTGAGATGAGCGGAAGACTGCAAAGTGGTGAGCAATCAGAGTTATTTTTGGTACCAAACAAAGTCATTTTTTATCTTCTAAGTACTTGAAGGAGTCTACCTATCATTATAGTGGGTTAGCCATGATGACTTAGTAATCCTTCAACCGCTGCCCAAAAGTCTAATAGGATCTGTTATGTATAAATAATGAATAAATAAATAAAATACACACCTGTAAAAGGAGCAGCGTAAACATTTTACGCTGGAAAGTGAGAGGGTTGTGTCGTAGGGCGGCGGTTTTCAGAAAAACAGCTATTCGTCTTGCACAAAATAGATTTGTGATAGCTATTGCCGAAGAAAGGAGGATCAAAATGGTCATTAAGATAATATCCACCATACTGCTGTGCTGAAAACAATAACTCTTTGAAGCTTTTGTAGTGACCGCTTGGAACGTCATTGCCGGCAATCCAGCAATCAAGGATGGGCAGAAAGAATGCGCTTCCATAGTATCTATCATTCGACTATAGACCATTTTTCTAACCATATCTTTACAATGAATAATAGCTTACCTCTACGGAAAAGCCAACGAATGAGCTATTATCAACGTCAGCTCCTGATATGACGACAGTATTCCTCACGAAAAACTCGAGTTCTTTACCAGGAAGAGCGACAAGGAAGAATATTACAAACAAAATTATCATGAGCAAGAGGTTGATAGTAAAGCCCAATATACGACATCTAGTTGCAGAAAGCATTTGGAAAAGTTCTGTCCTGGAAACTAAGGATTCCGATAATTTCAGCTCTATCTACACCTCGGATATGAAAATTTGTCATGTAAACCTGCGTACCTGCATAATTGTAAGTAACGATAAATAAAGCTATTGGTCACTATGAGTGACGAAACATAGAAAGATTCATAGAAAAGAGAAATAAGAATCAATCCGATAGGTTGACGATGTAGAGCTCCTGTCGCAATAAACACCATAAAGTTGTCTTGTGAGATGAGTCGCTGAATGAAATTGCATTAGGGTACTGTATTATGATCTGAAGGGCCATATTTTTTATTCTCAAAAGCCCCATAACAGTGATTTCTCATGAAACACATGACCCCACTTAGGTTGCCTCATAAACTACTCCTCGACTGATGCATTGTTATGTATTGGGCCAAAGCAATGCACTATTACTTGCATGGTCCAGAGATGGGAATCCGGTCACAACGTTGATACATCGTGCCTAGGCCAGCAAGGCTTCCATCTTTTCGGGGCCGACTATTTGGTACCATGCCCATCTAGGAGGATAAAAGCCCCGTCTCGTACATCGGCTGGTTACAGCAGTTCATTGTACACTTCACATGGGCCTCGAAGCGCTTCCACGAACGCTTCCACCCCGAATAGGAGTTGGATGATGTGGTTGCATGGGATTGATCAAGTTCAAAGACTTCACCTCAATCCTTTATTTGCTGCTAACTCATTACTCCTGTTATTATTTGTTCGTATGCTTACTCTTGAGTATCTTACTCGTTTCTGTTCTGCCTGATCAGCCATTTTCCTTGGCTTTTTTCTAAGGTAATCCTCATTTTGGAGAGTTTCCATCCCTATTTTTGAGTCGCGATACAACTACTATGGTCCAGATTGAGACCACATCGTCTGGGAATCTTACAAAGGAAAGCTGCTTACCGGCAATGAGAGAAGAAATGCTACTGAATAAATAATATCCTGTATAGCAGCAAATAAGAAGAAGTATTTATACGACTTCACTTTCTTCAACGGACAATAGTAATAGACGATAATAAAAAATATATTAGCAAATAGTGAAAGCGTCGTAATAATGTAAATTATAAACGGAAGCGATTCCTCTGCCGACATTCTGATTGTAATGCCCCAGACGACAAAACAAAAGAAGGTTTATGGTCAGCATGGCGAGTAGTTGTCAGTCTGACGGTACCGTCGGGGACATAATCATCGGGTGTCGTGCAGACGTCTTAGCGAAAGGTATGGTTAGTCTGTTTTTTTGAATCTTCTGGGTGAATACATCACAGGTTTTTACATAATCATTGGTGATTTACTTTTGTCTTGAACGGCTCTCCCACAACTTCGTAACAAACTTTGAGAAATACTATAATTCGCAAAAAGTCTATGCCCGCTCCCTGATCAATCACAATTTTTGGCTGACCATAATACACAGCTTCTCATAACTCCATAATTTCCACTGACGATCAACATGATATCTCGAACACAGATTTTACTGTAATACCATCCTTGGGTTTCAATCAATATCTATAAATCGATAATAAACGAATAAGTTAAATTTTGCGACGAACATACATATGTATGTCTACCGCAATCCTCCGTGTATCTCCCAAGAGTAAGGTGGAAGATCTCCTTTTAACAGAAGGTTTACGAGCTATTCTGACTTCTAGGAAAAACATCTGTCTCATGTAGTACATACATGGTGGACGAGAGTTGGGTGTGCTGGTTGAGTACTGGTGATACTCGAGCACCTCCCTGGTCTGGTAAGTTTTTGTGGGCTAATTGTAAGCTTTTTTTAGACAGCTTCTGGGTGACATACATATTTGAGTGAAGCTCACCTCAGGGAAGAGTCCCCAAAAAGGATTTCGAAATCTCCAGGCGACCTGTTATCGTCCCCTCTTGGTTCTTGGAATTCCAAGCATACCAACAAGGCTTTTGCGAAATACAGGACTTGAACACACTAGTACTCTCAAAGTTACTGAATTTTCTGTGTCCTTTGGTGTTAGCTACAGCATACTTAGTTCCTTACCTATCTAGGGTTACGGTTACCAAACACATTTTAGATAATCTAACAGCTCAATCAGTTACCATCTTATTTTCCTGTTTATTGTAATTGTTTTTACCCTTGCTGACATGGAATTGATTTGGAATAAGANGGTGATACTTGGATAACGATGTATAGCACAATTCCCTTCACACAGGAAAAATGAGAAATCCCTAAAAATTCCTGGAGGGAGCAGTTACGTCCTGCGATAGTTTCGATCTCTTCAAAAGAAATTCGTGCAATTCCGCCCCTTTTACGTGGTTCATTAGTTTTCTTATCTATCAGTATTGTCAAGTTTTATTAATGGAGAGCTGGCTTTCTGCAGACATATGCTCTCTTACATCATTTGCAATAGTGGTTATTTCATTTCCGATCTGAGGATCCTTCGATGGGTCGAAGGATCCTCACTGTCGCTGTGGATCTGCAAAAATTAGAAAATTATACTTTGCAGCAATAGTTATCTATTTGAAGTAAATCTAGAGATAGACCTTCTCAACTACTCAGAAAATAGCAAAGATTTTGATTTAGTTCGGATACCGCTCAAACATCGAAATTCTTAGGTCGCTCACGGACCTGTACGCAGTTATCATTTCCATCTGCGTTATTTGGCTCTCCCGCTGCTGAAGTTGTGTAGTCAAAACTCGTTCCATCATCCACGTCCACTGAGTATTCACGGATATCCGGCCTGGCAAAGGCCAACCCATGTCAGAAAATGGATTTGTGTAAGCTTCTCCTGTTCTTGCCATAACTATAAAAAGGGTTCTTATCTATAAAAAGGGTTCTTATGAAGAGATCCGTAACCTACATATCCGTCATGTACAGAGTGGCCAGCATTCCGGGACAGTGCCTTCAGCTCCTATATGAAGAACACCTCAGGGAGTCAGAAGAGCAGGGGAACCCACTAACCATTACAAACGAAATTCGCTTCGAGGATGACGTAAAAGATAAATATTTGGCTCACCAGCAACAGAACGGTCTTCTGCCGGCTGTGTATGGAGGCAATATGGGATCCTACAACTTGACATGACTGTTCTGCTTCGTAGAAGTTGGCATCAAAGAACGTCGGGAGAGCAAGAAATGGTTTTTCACGTAATGCTACCAAAACCTTCAAAAATATTGATGAAAATCAATCAAAATCAACATTACAAGCAGCTACAGCCAACTATGCGTCTTTCGATGGAACGACAACAGTTCGTCCTCCGAGTTGTCGCCCTGATCTTTTATTCCATGAAAGAATTCGCTCAAACCACTCAGACCAAATAAAAAACGAAGTTAAGGTAGAAACCTTTCCAGGCTCAACAATCAACACATAAGAGTTTAGCAATGTTTTATATTTGCTTTGCCGTACATAGTCATTGGCACAACAGCCCTAAAATGCTGAATAGTCTGAGTAAATACCTTCGAGATGGGATTTTCAGCTTTTGAATGTACAGATCTTTTTATTTAACACTCTATTATTGTCTTGCAAAAAAATCGCATTTTCTCCGATACAGTTTCAGTGATCCAACATCAACAATGGTTCTTAGAAAGCATGACCCGAATACACTGAGAGGAAGCTTTACAACCAGCACAAAATAAATTCTCTGTATAGACAGTGTTTGAGGCAGATCCTTTCCTCAACGGCACAGAATTAAAGCTAAGCAGTAGACGAGGGAGCATAGGTGTAGGGTGGATGATAATCGAAAGAGAGTTCATTTTATTACTGTTGCCCTACGCACTTTGAGTACCGTGCCTAATGGAACAGTGTTTGTTCCTGACCCTGATGTTCTCTTCTTGAGCCTCAGTTTGGAAAGAACGAAATTTCTGTAGTCTGTTATGAAAACTATAATTATGATAGGGTTGAATAGTGGTAATAAAGACACTAGGATATCAATCAGAGATGTAATGAGTGGAGTAGTGTCGACACCTGCGAGAAGAAGAAACACCACAAAGAGCAATGGCACATGTGCGAAGAAGATCGGTCCTCCTGCCTGAAATATAGAGCTGATTGATAAATATAGAGCTGACCAAGCTACTGATTCCTTCTCTAGGCTACTGAATCGGCCTGATAATAGTACACATTAGTAACTACAGCATCTTGGTCAATTGGAAATTCTTCGCCCTCAACACTAAGTGTCGTCAACACAGAAGAAGCGAGGGTATTTGGAGCAGAAAACTGCGCTTGGGCGTAAGTGATATGACCTTTAAACGTGGCATCAGAGCTTTGACCTAGCATAATAAGAAAAGACGTGCATGAAATCTAATTTGTTCCTTAGTTATCTTTCTTTTTTCCGGTGAAAATTTATCTGAAGTAGAAGTCACTGTTTCCCTACTCCAACATCAAGGGCCTGAGGACAGAGAATGAGGGATGGCGGATCTCGTGTAATTTAAGATATTTAGGAACGTTTCTCAGAAAAGAGAGTAGTTCTCTAAACTCTCAAGAGGAAAGGTCCACTTGTGTGGGTGAGCCTATTAAATGGTCAATCTCGGGACTCCGCTCCTCCTGCAACTGTGGTAAGAACTACAATTCTTCGGTAAGAACCGTTTCTAGGCACAAGTAAAGTCGGCTACTTTCGTTCACTTCATAGAAGCATTGGCATGGCGCACACCGTTATCCCGCCGGGGAGGTTCGGTATGCTTCAGAGAGCATTGATGCAAACTTATTTACACATATGCCAGACATTTGATAGAGTCAACGTTAGCCATGAATGGCTGCCAATACTTCAACAGCCACCCGAATTTTTAGGAAGATCTGTTTTATATGTATAAATATAATACACACCTGTAAAAGAAGCAGCGTGAACATCCTACGCTGGAACGTGAGAGCGTTGTGGCGAAGGGCGGCAGTTTTCAGAAAAACGGCTATACGTCTTGCACAAAATATATTGATAATAGCTACTACCATAACAAGGAGAACCAAATTAGAAATTAAAATA